ACGGAGCCTCTGTACAAATCAGCATGGTACACATTATGTTATCATTACTAGCTTGTTTAATATTCAGTCCACATGCATGAAGTGTAAAACGAGAAGGGAACCTTATGAAAAAAGAAAACATGCAAAAATCGCGGTTGCTGCGGTTCTTGCATTCCTCTGCGGTTTGCTCTTCAGTAGCGCGGTATTGCGATATTGCGGTTATCGCGACAGCCCTAACGCGGAGGAGACGAATTGTTGAATAAAGTTGTTATTTTTGTTATCTTTGCGTTCAAAAAGTATTCTCGTCGCTTCATAAAAATCAAATTGAACCACTGATGGCAGATGTACTGTTTTGACGATGTCTTTCATACTTTTCTGGGCCTTGACAGTGTTATTTACTTAGCAGTCAATGGGACAGTCACAAGCCTCCCGGTTTTCATCCAAAATATCTTAAATTGTGTTCCGAAGACGAACAAAGATTTTATGGGTTTGAAACGACATGGGGTTAAATGATTAATGACAAAATTTTCATTTTGGGGTGGAGTAACCCTTTAAAATGTCCTTCTAGAATGAGATCAAATCCCAAAATAGCCAAAACTGCCCCTCTCCAACATCATGACAGCAGCTATAAATATAGAAGTTTATCATATGGGCCGCAGTATACGCAGTTTGCGTTTAGTGGATACGTCCAAAATGGCGCTACGGTGATGCGGAGACGAATTGTTGAATAAAGTCGTTATTTTTGTTTTCTTCGCGTACAAAAAGTATTCTCGTCGCTTCATAAAAATCAAATTGAACCACTGATGGCAGATGTACTGTTTTGACGATGTCTTTCATACTTTTCTGGGCCTTGACAGTGTTATTTACTTAGCAGTCAATGGGACAGTCACAAGCCTCCCGGTTTTCATCCAAAATATCTTAAATTGTGTTCCGAAGACGAACAAAGATTTTATGGGTTTGAAACGACATGGGGTTAAATGATTAATGACAAAATTTTCATTTTGGGGTGGAGTAACCCTTTAAAGTAAATTTTGCATGCTTCCCAACTCAAGCTCAGTGCTTTACTGTCAAATGTGTATTACCAAGAAATAAACATGTAATATTATTAGTAACTGCACTTATTAATGCAGAACAGTAGTAATTTTATGATTAAATTATCTTTATTTTTCATACCCCACACACCAGCCCCCCAGCGCTACCAAATCTGCTTCTGGTGCCACCATACGTAGAACTTAGTGGCGCTGCTCTCAAATGTTAGTCTGGAGCTCTGCACTGTTACATCAGAGTTCACTTTTATGTTCACATTTCTCAGCTTTTTACAAGTTACTGAAAATGAACCATTTTTACTTTTATTTCAGAGTTGATTGAAGAAAACAAGGAGAATAAAGAATCAAGTGAATTTGAGAAGAAAAATCATGTCAAAACTGGAGAAAAAACTTTGAGTTGGTCTCAAACCAAACAGAAAGATTCAAAGAAAAGAAGAGCCAAGAAATCTTTCACCTGCACTCAGTGTGGAAAGAGTTTGACTAGAAAAAACTGTCTCAAGCGTCACATGAGAGTTCATACTGGAGAGAAACCATTCAGTTGTGATCAGTGCGGGAAGAGTTTCACACAATCAT